ATGTTGCTCATGAGGTGGTTGAGGTTTATATGGTGTCTGTTTTGGCAGTGATGATTGAAAAATGCAGTTGGGGGAAATTGGGAATTTTCATTCTGACATTTCAATAAGGTTTACTGTCCAAGTCAGACAGAGAAGCTATAATTTTGGGTTTTTTTTCATGGAACATAAATTAAAAAAGGGGATATTTTAAAAACAACATTTTCAGTCAAAAAAACCCAACTCATTGTTTTACATTTCTCAAAGCAAAATGTTTCCTTTTCCCTTGGCTGAAATAGCCCCCAAAGACTTTATTTTGAGTCATTTCAGCATAAAAAAGTGTTTCCCCCTCCCCTTCTGACTAAGTATTTTGTAGGATTAGGGGTTTGGAAGCTTGATCATACCATTCTCTCCTTCATGTCAAATTTCTAAGTTTCCCATGATGCACTTAGTACAGAACTTCACCAGAGGGTTGATTTGCACTGCATCATGGGACTTGTAGTCTGGAACCTACCTTGGCCCATACAAGAGAATGAAAAACAGAACTACAGCTACCATAGAGCAACAGTCTGAAAGGGAAAAGTAGTTTGATGCTGTATTGAATGCATTAAAAACTAAACGCTTCCAGTCAGTTCAACAGCAGCAACAATCGCAGCCACAAAAAAAATCCCAATTCAGGCTGAACCAACCTGAAAGAAAAGATTTCATTTCAACTCCCCCAGGGAATAATCTCGTTTTTGTGGAAACTGAATTTTCCAGCAGAAAATTGTTCAGATGGGAAATTTGCAGCCAGCTCTAGTGAATAATGATCAAAGTCATCCAGCAACCAGATGTAAAGGCAAGGGGCAGGGTGCACGGTTAAAAAGCAGGAATACTAACAGGCGATTCTGAAAAAACCCCCGTTTGGCTGTTGGGAATGCGACTCGTCAGAAAGCCATGATTTTTAAGCCACCTGTTGCCAGGGGCAATTTTGCACCCTGCTAGAAAAAAGCTGGCAACACAGATGTGCTCAGTGTCAGTTTTGGGGTAGGATGCCTCTTTAATTTTCTTCCCAGGTCTCCTTTGGACTGCTTCTCTGCAGTGGGAGACATGGCATAGCTGCAGGCTTTCCTCCTGAAAAGAAGATTATATGCCGCAACGTGTTAAACCCATGCTATTGAATAGGAAAGGTCATGCTGGTTGCTGCTGGCTAAACCTAAAGCATGGTACTCAAGTTCTATAGGAACTGATTGCACTAATTGACACCGACTGACAAGAACACCGGTAACAGGCTGAACGGCTCACCTTTTATCAAAGTGAGTGTTTAAAAGCTGAGTTGGGGTTGAAGCACCTAGCAACACATAATAATGGCACCTTTTAAAAATGATAGGGAGTGAGAGAGAGAAGCAGAGTGAGACAGAGAGGATACCATTGATGCATTAAGAGGACAAACGCATCTTGTGTTGGGGCATTCAGACTCATGCGTAAGTGCATCAGAGCGTCTGTAGGCGCTTACGTGCATGTCCAAGCACAAGATGTGGATGTCTTATTAAGATGCAATGGGACAATCATCTCTAGTTCTTGAATGCATTTTTCCTACGGGGCCAAGGACTGCAAGATAACCAAGACTCACAAAATCCTCCTTGGCCCTGTGCATGTCAGAAGATTTCAGGGCTCACCCAGGAAAGGAGGATGAGTGTGGGAGGTCAAGACAGCTGGAGCTCAAAAGACCATCTTGCCCAACTGCTTGATATATTGGAGAAGCAGAGGAAACTGGTAATGACAGTGGATAGGAGGCTGTGCTGACTGCAGGCTGTGGCCTTCTTTATTTTGGGGGTGTATGTTTGTTCCCAAGGAAAAGCCAGAATGAGGGCTTAGAAAAACTTATGCCCCAAACTAGATCCAGGTTGGAAAGCTGAACTTGGAGATTCAAGCTGGTTTAAAGGCCAGCTTAGCTCTCACTTGGGGACTGGGGTATAGGTTGAGCCTGACTCTGTGCCAGAGGCTCACAGGAGGAGGGAAAGCTTTGTGCTTATCTGTGTAAGCAGGCGGCAATGTACCCTTGCCCTAGCAGAAGCTGCTCGCAGCTCAGCTAGCAGAAAGGAGCATCAGAAGGTCTTGCCAATTAGATCTTATAGCCTAGGATAGCTTGTATATACATCCACGTGTGCTAGGGCCTGTTGAAACCCAGTAACGGCAGTAATTCATGATGAGTGGACTTCAATAAAGTCATTATGAACCAATGGACAAGGCTGGAAACTTACTCCATACACCAGTTCTCCCACCATGCCATTCCATGTTTTAGAGTCAGGGTCCCGGGCTCCATACTTCCCATCTCTCACTATCTCCAACGTGTAATTGTAGCCAACATGCTTAGCGATCTCAGCAGCAAGCTCCACGCAGTAGCCTTCATACCTGTCATTGCCTTCAAGCTGGTTGGCGTTCTTCTTGAGCATCACGTACGGGTCTTCCTGGCAGAGAGAAAGCAAATTATTCTGCCATGCCTCTCCCTCCTCACGTCATGCTTTCAGACTAGGGTACTAGCTACACTGCTCTTTCAGCACAGCCAGTTTCATGAAGAATTTGGACCCTTGGCCCATTTATTCCAGGTCTTCATGGGGCAAAATTTTGAATGAACCTTCCTCAATTAATCAATTGGACCTAATCAATGAGAAGTGATATGGCATCTTCAACAGTCACCAAAAGGGATAGAATAGCTTCCATTTCTAGGTCCCCAAATCTGTCACATTGACTGAGTCTTCATTGGTCAATCTCTGTGAGGTAAGAAGATGCAACGGCACAGTACATTAAATATAAAAAAATATGGAGGTGCCTGATGTTCCTTCATAGTTATGCCCGAGTTTTTTTTTTTTAAGGAAGCTTTCACCTCTCTGTTATTTAGGCAGAATACAGAAGAATATTCCCCAGCATTACAGCTCTAAGTCTTAGCTGGGAATATAAAACTCAGGTATGATGCATTTAGTTTAACCTCTCTTGATGTTTCTTGTATCTATCATATTGTTTTGTGTTTCCTTCTGTTCAGTAGGCTTAATGTCTGCTCAATATCTGAAATATGTAATTATCCAAGGCAACTGCAAACACTTTTTGGGACTATCAGAAGAATCACAGCAGCAGAAAATGAGGGAGAGAAGGGACCTCCGGAGGTCACAATTAGTCCAACCCCCTGCTCAAAGCAGGGCCAGCCCCAACTTCATCATCCCAGACAAGGCTTTGTCTACCCAGGTCTTAACCTCTAAAGATAGAGACTCCATCACATCCCTTGGTAACCTGTTCCAGTGCTTTATTATCCTCCTAGGGAGAAAGTTTTTCCTAATATCCAACCTCAACTTTACTTTCTGCAACTGGAGCCCATTGCTCCTTGTCCTGTCATCTGCCCCCACTGAGACCAGTCCAGCTCCATCCTCTTTGCAGCCCCCCTGCAGGGACTTGAAAGCTGCTATTCAATCCCCCTCAGTCTTCTCTTCTCCAGACTAAATCAGCCCAGTTCCCTCAGCTCCTCCCACGTTGTTCATAGATTGCAATGCTGGAAGGGACCTCAAAAGATCATCGGGTCCAGCCCCCTGCACCAGGCAGGAAAGTCAACTGGGGATCAGGTCACCCCAGCAAGGTGACTGCCCAGTCTCCTCTTGAAGATTTCCAGGGTAGGCGATCACACCACCTCTGGAGGGAGCTTATTCCACAGTCTGGACACCCTGACCTTGAAGAAGTTTTTCCTAATGTTGACCCTGAAATGGTCTCCCAGGAGTTCATGGCCATTACTCCTGGTTTTACCCAAGGGTGCCCTGGTGAATAGCTATTCACCAAGCCCTGTGGCTCCAGCCCCTGAACCACTTTTGTTGCTCTCTGCTGGACTCCCTTCAACTTGTCCACAGCCTTTTTGTAGTGGGGAGGCCAAAACTGGACACAGGACTCCAGATGTGGCCTCACTAGTGCATAATAGGTGGGAATAATTATTTCCCTTGATCTGCTGGCAACGCTCCTACCAATGCAGCCCAGGTTGTCGTTAGCTTTCTTGGCAACAAGGGCACATTGCTGGCTCATATCATGTCCACTGTAACCCCCAGGACCTTATCTGCAGAGCTGCTGCTTAGCCTGTTGGCCCCAAACCTGTAGCAATGCATGGGACTCTTCTGCCCTAAGTGCAGGACTTTGCACTTGTCCTTGTTGAACCTCATGAGATTTCTTTTGGCCCAATCCTCCAATTTGTCTAGGTCCCTCTGAATCCAAGCCCTACCCTCCAGTGTATCTACTACTCCCGCTGGCCTGGTGTCATCTGCAAACTTGCTGAGGGTGCACT